GATTTATATACTTGAGTAATGGATGTTGCACACATAAACTCGGCTGGACAAAAGCTTTTGTAGCTGTGGGTGACAATTTAAAACACAAAAAGGAATTTTAAATGTTTTTCCTGGTACAGTTCCAAATACCCTTTATTACTCTGTTTTATTGAATAAATACATAGGAGTACATTGGAGGTATTATTTGGAGTTGGGAAAAGTTAAATGTTACTTCGTAAATTGTGTATTGTCTTGAACAAGTTAAAAAACTAGTAATTACAAAAAAAAGTGAAAATTTCAATTTAAAAAAATAATAAAATTTGTTTTCAATTACCTAACTAATGTACCCTGATTTGTAGCTGTCTTTAAATGATTTGCGTTCAATTTTTCACACGCTGACAATTTGTTTTTCTTTGCTAACATCTGCGCTGCTCGTTAATTTAAATTTTATTTCATCGCCTAAATGCCGACCACTTTGCATAATTCAATGCTCCCCTCAAAGCCTTAATTTTCGCTTGTGTTTTTCTGGCTTTTTTCCGTAGTTTGTTGACATTTCTTTGATGGGCGTAGAGAGCAGCTTCATTATTCAGAAACAGCTGTTGGACCAGAGGGGCAGTGAGAGGGGTGGCGACTCCTCGACACATAAATTTGACTGACTGTCGGACACGCCGCACTTATGCCTCAATCCATCCTGCCCCCCGACATCGGCACATATATCATTTTCATTTTGTAATTTGTCTCCCGACCCCGAGTTTCCTGCTTTTGGCCCGGCTTTCGGCATTTTGTGCACAATGGCCCCCAGTTAATTGGTTGGGTGTTGCCCATTTCTGGTTCCGGCAGGACCTGGGGGTCTCCGGGTGTCCGGGTATCCTGGTATCGGTGTCAGGCGAAGGCGCCTCATATTAAATTACATGACAGCTTACATGAGGTGCCAACTTCCCCTCGGCGAGCTCATTAAATGTGGAAAATAAATGGCAAATGGGGGCGTGCTTTCACTCGTGAAAAATGCGGAAAATTCTGTTTTGCTTATGCAATTTTAATAATTTCCCTGCGATTCATTTTCAGCTTGTTGATTTTTAATGAAGCCATTTGGGCAAAACAATGTAATAATCGCACATGACTGATTGCCATAATTATACCATGCTCATCTCGCAACTATTCTAATTGATTTTGATTCCTTACTCGATTTAAAATAATAACTACGTTCAATAGGTACTAATATTCCAGAAATAATTATAAATACCATCAGGGGAATAATTTCATTTTAGATAATTGATATTAGTAGCTGAAAGCAAAGCTATGCAAAAAAATGCTTAAATTATTTTTTGGATTTGTAAACTTCCTAACCATATATATAATATATATTTATAAAGATAAACCAAACAGAATCCCAATTTAAAGGCTTACTTTTGTGGTTATGGTAATTGAAGTTTTGGTAAACAATAATCTCAAGATTTCCAAGCTTTAATTGAATACAGAAATTCAATTTGCTAAGAATACGAGACGATAAATTAACTTGAGCTCGATGCCAAGAACTAAGACATCGCACACTTTTCATATTAGAAGCGGAAAAGTCGCTCAGCATTAATTAATTGCAAGCGTGCTCGCTATCAGAAATGCTTCTCCCAAGAGCAAATTCAGGCGATAGTATTAAAAACGTCTGTTTTCCCTTCGGTTACCTAATTAATGAGATGGTACAGAAGTACAAACATGCATAACTTTTAGCATTTAATAAGCTGCAGGGGCAAAAACTCGGAAATAAGAAAAACTATTCAAAATGCAACCTTTGTGCAAAGCGGGAATTGCGGTTTCGTGTTACGCACAACCTAATAATGCTAATTGCATATCGGTCTGCCTTTCAACTTGGCTAAATGGTGAGCTACTCTTCGGATTGGCAAGGGTTTAAACTGCATTTTGCCATTACGTTATTACCAAAGAGAGGGGATTTTTAAAAGGAATATTTATATGCAAAACTGGCATTCAAATAATGAAATTCATTTTTAAATCAATAAATAAACTGTTTAGAATGAAAACCTATCGTTGCTTTACCATTGCAATTAAACTAAAAGTTATTTTCTATCTTGAAAAAGGAATCTTCTTTTGCTCGCAACTTTCTCCTACAAACATAAGTAATTAAATCATTTGTCATTTGCAGATACGCCGGCATCTTTGCCTTTCGACATTGCTAATAACTTTTTCCGGAGAAGATTTGAATCAGGCCGTCAACGAGACTGTCAATTTCCGAAGTCCTTCGAACAAAAGCCGGAAAAAAGTGAAAGGAAAGGCCAGTGAGGCCAAAGTGAGAGACAATAGCACTTGAAAAGTTCCGCACCATTACTCGGGTGTTTTGTGGTGATTGGGTTTGATATTGGGATGATCTCTGCCCCGCCCTCGACCAAAGAAAAACTTAACCGAGGTTCAAGATTCCTGGCAGAAATGACAGTTTCGACCCCTCGGATCCAGACACTTGAAGTGTCGGGCAAACAAAATCATTGGCTAACGTGTTTTGTTTGGCTAAGCGAACTTTGCCTTGCCTGGAAACTAAAACAAAAGAGGGAAACTATCTTACATTTCAATTTAAGTTCGCCGAGAGTTCCTTTCGCCGCTCCTTCCCTTGATTAACTGCAAATGCAAAGAGTGTGTGCCCGTGGATTGAACTTCGACTTCGACTTCGACTTCGGCTTCATTTCCACCTAATTAGTTGCAATTGTTTGCCGCTTTACTTTCAGCTCCGACTGTGACGCCCACACCCGGCGTATGCGCATTATAAAAATTTATGACTCATAGAAATTAAATGGCTGTCATTCGTATGTATTAGCCAAGCGAAATTAGTTTGTCTTAGCAGATCCACAGCGACCTCGTGGTTGAGGGATAAAAAGTGGGTGTGGATGTGGGTGGGATTGGGATTGGGTACTGGGTTCTGGGTGCGGTTTTCTGGGTGTTCTCGGTTTTCTGGTTTTCCGGGAAAACAAAGGCAACGAATAAACGCGGAAGATGCATATCAAATCGTTGCCAGCATAAATCAAAGGTAACCCAAATACATAAATATTGTACAATATACATGTTTATGGGGGTGGACTTCTGAGAGAAATAAAGACCTTATCTAAGCGATTTCATTTGTTCATTTGTATACTTCTCCCTTAAAATCGCTTTTAGTCTTTTTCCCGTTTTCCGGCGCCGTTAAATAATGTATAAACTTGGCCTTTAATTGAACTTTTCGTAGATAAGCAGTCAATAAATCGAAAATGTAAATTGTATTTTCTCTCAGCGGCTTTTTGCTATTTATTTTTGTTTTTGTAAGTTCTGCCAACGAAAATTTGGCAAGGTGCAGCTATTGTTTAATTTCGAAGGCACCTAAAATCAATCCATCCCAAAAAGAATAGAACTCACTAAATTGTACACATATGTTTTTGTAAAATATTTAGGCTTTTGTTTATGGGCGCACGTCGACATCGTTTTTGTTTAATGCTGTCGCGTCGGTTAGTTGTAAACAAACTTACTAAATGGACTGGATGGATGGACGGATCGTGTCCAGCAGCACGGTTCGTTTATATATTTAGATGGCGAACGATAGACAATTTCAGCGATTAGGCCAGAAGGCAACCTAAATTTTCCATAAGTCCCCTGTTCGTTTTCCCCTGAGAAATTACCCCGATCGTGTGGCTTATGTTAATGGGCCATTTAAGCCGGGCAGTTAGCTCCTCCAGCTGCCCAAAAAAACCAATAAATGCCACGCGCATCCGATGCACTTTGGGGTTCCTCCACCTCCTACATTTCCATTTCTTTTTTCATATTCCTCTTGTTGCAAGAGTCTGTCCTCCGGCTTGTGTTGTTTCGGTGTTTTTTCTAGTTTTTCATTAACTTGGGAGTTCCTGGTTTGTGGCTAAGTGTGCAGCATGAAAAGGGTGTTACCCAAATACCCGAATAAAACATGAGCTTAAGATTCTGGTTGCAACTGAAACCTTTATGGCTGCATACACTAAATTGAATTGAAATATATGCAACGTTTACAGTGCACGGAGAAAAAACATTATGGTTCTGAATGATCTTCTCAAAATAGGTATAATCAATGAATAATGTTATTATGATTTGGTTATGATTTACTTGGCGATACTTAATGTGCCATTTCTTATGTTATGTATGAGGGATTCAAAAGACAATGATTGCAAACAATTTAATGATATTTTAAAAATCATTTAATAAAACCATATATATTATAAATATAATTATTTCTTTCACAACATTTTAGAAAAATCTATTGTAAGATTATTCCGCTCAAAAATGTTATTTCTAGATCAAATCTCTATTTTCATATCAGATCCATATACACTTGACTGAAATTATGAGTGTAATGAATAATCCCAAATTGAAATAGGAGGAATGCAACGCATACGGTAAACAAAAACCAAATTGAAATGGTAGCAAACATTACTGTTCGAACGATGAAAGAGTTATTCAGAATTATTCATTGAAATTACGTAACCGAACAGTGGATTGTGTATTGAACACAATCAACAGGAAATCTATCAACATGCAAGGGCAAAAATTGCATTAAAATGGAAATTTCAGGCGCTGGTTTTGAAAATTGCCAACCCATATTCAGGATTTATGGAGCAACACAAGCCGTATGCAAACGGAAAACGGAAGCAAAATAAACAGCACGAAAGCGAAACGGAAACAGAACCAGAACCCCAGGAAAAGGGGCCCGTTTTGTCGATTTGGATGTAAATGCACATAAGCTATTTCCCCCAATGCAGTTTTAAAGCAGTAAAGGGCCGGAAAACCGTATTTTTCACGGACTTTTACAGATTCAAATGTCGATAGGCGGACAGGGAATTTATTGAGCTCACATCAATTTTTCGGGATACTAAAGCGGCCATATGCAGACTCAAATGTCAGCTGTCAGAAAGCCAGGAAAAAGCGATTACGCGAGATTAACTGATCAATTTTTAATTTGCCATTTCCGACACCGCCGATAAACACATTCACATCAATCTGCAATTATTATTTATGGTGCTTACATTTGCGTTAAAGTGCTTCCGTGTTTTCAAGCGATTCCAGCCATCGCATTTGGGACGCCACTTAAACAGGATATGGACACGAGGAGCACATGCCACATTCCACACACACCCCACACTTGGGCAAATTTTGTTTACACCGCAATGGCACAGCACAACACACACGGGAAGAATTTAAATAATTTATTCGACTTTTTTTAGCAGGCCAAAAGCACTTGAAATAGCCGGATATTGGCGTCAACGCTGCCGAATCGCAGAGCACATCCAAATATTCCGTTTTTGAACTTGAACTGCCCGTCGGAACGGAGGAGAGAACGCATGCGACTTGTTGGCGCGCGCGAAAACGTTTGGTTTGCCCTCGAGTTTGCCTGGCTGCCTGACTGCATGTTGGCCAAATTGATCCGGAGATTTGTTGAGTCGCCAAAAGGGGCGGTTGTTCAGGGGAAACCCCGCTCTGTTTGGTTCTGAAATGCCGGCTCTTTTGCACGCAGACGCAGCAACATGTTGCTGGCGGAAATGTTGCACCAATCTTGCTAGCAAGCATATCTCGAACTTGGCATTGATCAGTGTTTTCAGATCGCTTTTTTATATATATTTTTATTACATGTGTTTATATAATACCTAAATATTAATACTTGTCCCACTTTAAATAAAGATTTTAAATTTACCGCTCTTTAGTTTATATTTTATCGATTTATTGCTTACCATGCCGGCATTAATGTAATCGATATTTGCACACTCTCTCTTTCAGAGATGATAGTGACTCTCATAGTGTGATGAGTCACTTTAAAAGCTGTCACTTAAATTGTTAGCAAGTCTAAATACACCCACATTTTAAACAAACAAATGTCTATTAAAAACCAGTTGAATTATATTATCTTAATATAAGGCTTAATTACTAGTGCCACTTCAAAACTACAAAATCGAATCCCCGCCCCGTGACTATTCACAATATTCATCGGCAACGAAAACACATGCAAACATCGGCCATCTCTAGTCCTCTCTTTTTGATGTCTTGTGCATTCGACATCGTTTAGTTTTGCTGTAAAAATAGTAAGTTTATTGTGAAATATTGAGCACAACGTGGCGGTAAACAGTCAAAGAAGAAGGCGGTGAACCTATTTCTATAAAGGCTCTGCATGGAACGACCATTATGCTGCCGGAAACCTTTGGCAGAAATTTTTGCAAAACGCCATGTTGGCCGCTCAAACATAACCTCAACAAAAGCAGCAACTTATGTGGCCCGAAACTAATAAATTGTAAATTCCAGGCGCAGACAAACGGCCGTCTAGAAAGTCAACGAACATGTCGCGTTTCTTTGCCAACGGGTCCGACTCGGAGTCCGAGTCCAGCGAGGAGGAGATCCAAGCGACCAACTTCAACAAAGCCAGCGCCTTCGTGAGTACCGCCCGAATGTGAGCCATCCATTGGTTATCTGTTAGTAATACCTCTTTTCCCCCCCTTATAAACAGCAATTCAGCGACGATGAGGAAGAGGTCAAGCGCGTGGTGCGCTCCACAAAGGAGAAGCGGTACGAGAACCTCACCAGCATCATCAAGACCATCCGCAACCACAAGAAGATCAAGGATATCCCCAATACGCTAACCAGCTTCGAGGATCTGACACGCGCCTACCAAAAGGCACTGCCGGTCATCTCGAAGGAGGAGAACGGCATCACGCCGCGCTTCTACATCCGCTGTCTCGCCGAGCTGGAGGACTTCATCAACGAGGTGTGGGAGGATCGCGAGGGCAGGAAGAACCTGTCTAAGAACAACTCCAAGTCGCTGGGCACTCTGCGCCAGAAAGTGCGCAAGTACATCAAGGACTTTGAGGACGATTTGTCGCGTTTCCGTGAAGCGCCCGACCAGGAGAGCGAGGCCGAGGACGAGGTGGTGGCCCTGGACAGCGATGGCGGCGATGCTGGCGATGATAGCGATGCCGGAGTCAAGGGGGAGCCCACACAGGCGGTCCCCAAGACGGCGAAATCTGTGCCGGCTAAGGCTGCGCCCGCTGACGACGATGATTCTGACGACTCCATTGACTGGGACTCTGACTCCGAGTCTGAGACCGAATCCTCCGACGACGAGAACCAGTACCAGAACATGCGCGAGCGTTTCCTGAAGCGCACTACCGAAAAGGAGGACAAGGACGACGACAAGCGGAAGGACAAGCGCAAGGAGCAGAAGATCAAGATCCGCAAACGTGCCGAGGACGATGAAGATGGCGAGTGGGAAACCGTGGTTAAGGGTCATGTGGTTGAGAAGCCCAAGATGTTTGAAAAGGATGCCGAGATCGATGTTCCCCTTGTGTTGGCCAAGCTGTTAGAGATCATGTCGGCGCGCGGCAAGAAGCGCACCGATCGTCGCTTGCAGATCGATCTTCTGTTCGAGCTGAGGGACATCTCCGATCAGCACAACCTGGGCACCGCCGTCTCCGTGAAGATCCACTTCAACATAATCTCGGCCATCTACGATTACAACCAGAAGATCTCCGAGCCCATGAAGCTGGAGCACTGGGCCCTTCTTTTGGAGGTGATGCAGAGCATGCTTAAGCTGCTGCTCGCGAATCCCGACATCATCATGAGCGAGAGTGTGGCTGAGGAGCATGAGGAGTACGCCGCTGCTCCGTTCTATGTGCGAGGATGCCCCCTGGCCGCCGTGGAGCGTCTGGACGATGAGTTCGTCAAGCTGCTGAAGGAGTGCGATCCCCACTCAAACGACTACGTGTCCCGCCTGAAGGACGAGGTGAACGTGGTGAAAACCATCGAACTGGTGCTGCAGTACTTCGAGCGCTCCGGCTCCAACAACGAACGCTGCCGCATTTATCTGCGCAAGATCGAGCATCTGTACTACAAGTTCGACCCGGAGGTGCTGAAGAAGAAGCGCGGAGAGGTGCCAACCACGACCGCCACATCCGTGGACGTAATGGACAAACTGTGTAAGTTCATCTACGCCAAGGACGACACGGATCGTATTAGGACGCGAGCCATTCTGGCGCACATCTATCACCACGCCATGCACGACAACTGGTTCCAGGCCCGCGATCTGGTGCTGATGTCCCACCTGCAGGACAACATTGACGCCGCCGATCCCGCCACCCGCATCCTGTACAACCGCATGATGGCCAACTTGGGTCTTTGCGCCTTCCGCCAAGAGAACGTGAAGGACGCTCACCACTGTCTGGTGGACCTGATGGTCACCGGCAAGCCCAAGGAACTTCTCGCCCAGGGACTGCTTCCCCAGCGCCAACACGAGCGGTCCGCCGAGCAGGAGAAGATCGAGAAGCAGCGCCAGATGCCATTCCACATGCACATTAACCTGGAGTTGCTCGAGTGCGTCTACCTGGTGTCCGCAATGCTGCTGGAGATTCCCTACATTGCTGCCCATGAATTCGACGCCCGCCGCCGCATGATCAGCAAGACGTTCTACCAGCAGCTGCGCTCCTCGGAGCGCCAGTCCCTGGTGGGTCCGCCTGAGTCGATGCGTGAGCACGTTGTGGCTGCCGCTAAGGCAATGCGCTGCGGCAACTGGCAGGCTTGCGCCAACTTCATCGTCAACAAGAAGATGAACACGAAGGTATGGGACCTGTTCTACGAATCGGACCGCGTGCGCGAGATGCTCACCAAGTTCATCAAGGAGGAGTCGCTGCGCACCTACCTGTTCACCTACTCGAACGTCTACACCTCGATCAGCATTCCCTCGCTGGCGCAGATGTACGAGCTGCCCGTGCCCAAGGTGCACTCGATCATCAGCAAGATGATCATCAACGAGGAGCTGATGGCCAGCCTGGACGATCCTTCCGAAACCGTGGTCATGCACCGATCGGAGCCATCGCGGCTGCAGGCCCTGGCCATGCAGTTCGTGGACAAGGTCACCAACCTGGTGGACGTTAACGAGAAGGTGTTCGACATGAAGCAGGGCAACTTCTTCCAGCGCGGCAACATGGGCAACCGCGGAGACCGTGGCTACAACCGCAACCAAAACAACCAGGGCGGCAACTGGGGCGGCCAGCGGCGGGATAATCGCAACAACCGCAACCGTAACCAGCGTGGGCACCACAAGAACCAGCAAGATAGACAGCAGCAGCAACAGCAACAAGTCCAGACCATCGACGAGGAGTAGACGCCGGCGAATCCTCAGCCCAATCCTCTCCAGCGAGCGTTAGCTTAAACACCAGCAAATCATAAACAGAACAAATTTGTAGCACTTCGACTATTAAAAATGGAATGGCCATGGACCACTCGTTGGGTTGAGTGCAGTCGGGCCTCCGATTCAGTTCCCTACTGGATCGGAGGTCTGGTTCCATCATCCGTTGTCATTGCATGTTGTTGTAGCCAAGTCCCAGATAAATTTGTTCTAGCGCTCATTACGTTAAATGATAATATGATAACTACATTTTGTATGATCCCAAAACTCAAAAAACCTTAAAAAGAAGAGAAAGAAAGAACCAGTGGTTTTATAAGGGGGTACCAAAAAGCAGGGACTTTTTTTGTTAATAGTGGTATGTATAGCACATTTAACTGTTTTAAAAGACGTGCTTGATTCAATTTGATTATAATGCAATTATAAGATTTGAATCTTGATAACAAGGTTCATTTCTGTGATATCGATATGCTCCCATCTCTGGAAACCTTTTCTTTAGTATTACCGTTCCACGAACCTTTGTCACATTTTTTCGGCTCTCTTATTTAATAAACAAATTATAACTTAAAATCAAACAAAGTTAATACAAATGAGCAGCGTTGGCGAGGATTGCAACGAGCTGAAGCAGCAGTACGACGCCTGTTTCAACAGCTGGTTTTCCGAGCGGTTCCTAAAAGGTCAAACGGATGACTCAGTGTGCGCCCCAATTTTCCGTGTTTATCAGGACTGCGTCAAGGTAAAACTTGAGATTCATTATTGAAATTGATAACACAACCATTGACCTGCAGCGCGCCATTCGGGAGAAGAAGATCGATCTGCGAGAGATTGACCCGATCTACGACACAAATAGCGATCACGAGCAAACCAACAGCTCCACTGGAAATCAGCAACAAAAGGGCAAGAGTTGACCCCAAAAGCCGCTCTACAAGAATCCACAAAGCAAGCAGAAAATCACCAATTCTAGACTACCGAAAAGGAGTATAGTTCTGTATTCTCTAGCAGAAAACCCAGCAATACAAGTTCGTGGCATTTTGTCTGCTCTAACAATACAATGACTATATGCAACTGATCATTCAGTTGCCAAGATGCCGCAATATACAATTTAATTAATAAATTAGTACTTTTCAAAGGAGTTTAAGATTCAAATCTCGATAAACAGTTTAATTTCAACTAAACTCATCGATTTTCTGTTACGCACATCTCTAAAAACATTATCTTTAGTATGACCTTTGCACAAACCATTTGCACATTTTTTCGGCGTATTATTCAATAGACAAATTATAACATAAAATCATTAACTAAACCTACAAATGAACAGCATTGGCGAGGATTGCAACGAGCTGAAGAAGCAGTACGACGCCTGCTTCAACAGCTGGTTCTCGGAGGGATTCCTGAAGGGTAAAACGGATGATTCCGGCTGCGCGCCTATATTTCGGGTTTATCAGGAATGTGTCAAGGTAAGACATGGAAGTTTCATCATCCGAATGGTTAACCCAACCTTTGATCCTTAGCGCGCCATGCGTGAGCAGAAGATTGAGTTGCGGGAGGTCGGCACGGAGTACTCAACGGGCTCCGAGTACGATAATGCGAACAGTGCCGCCGGAAAGGGGCAGCAGAAGAGCAAGAGCTGACCCGTAACGCCGCTCCAGCATCCTGGCTTCGGCCTTGATTCCACAATCGGCCAGGAACAGGCTCCCAACAGTCTTACAGGTCATCAGCGCCGGCACCAGAGGGGAGGAACAGCCTAGGAGTCGGCCGAAACGCCGTGGACTATCACGTTCCAGAATCAGCTTTGGTTAAGCTTAATGACTCCTAACCATAACCTCTTATATAAATTATGTAGTGAATGTTTTATAATTAAGTTCAAGTAGCGAACTAAAAATGTTATATTCAGACAGACTTCAGTTTTTACTTACTAAGTGAAGATTGGAGTCTATTTTGAGCATAAATGCAATAAAGTGTTATATAGAATTCTTTTTAAGTTAATTATAAACATATATGGCTTCATGTTTTCCTAAAGTCACCTTGTGGAATAAGTATTAGCCTCCGGTTATCTTTTAAATGTGAGTCCCAGCTTAAAACAAACAGAGAAGAGTACTTCCCAGTTGCGAAATTCCCTTTTTGAATGATCAGTATCAACGGGAATCTTACCTATAAAATGATGCACCCATAGACTGAACAGCACAATCCAAAACTGAGTTATTAACCGTCAAGATGAAACTGCTGCCAATACTTGTGGTCCTGGTCCTGGTTGTGTGCGCCGCCTGCAAGAACCACGAGGAGTGGGGAGGACATCGACCAAGTGACTACGATCCCAGACCATATTCAAGGCAGTTCTAAAACACTGGAAAGTTTTCTACTCATTTTTGGGATTTTTCTGAAATGCGATAGACATTTTCTCTGTATTTTTCGTAAACTCAACTAATGAAACCTGATTTCCAAAAGAAATAAAGTTATCAAAATAAAGAATTCCAAATTTAAGTAATGTATTTGATGAACTTCAACTTAATGCAGTTACCGAAATGGTTATACAATTGGCACTTGCTTCAAGCGATCTTTCTGAAACATGTATAAATGTTTGCTGGCCTATAAACTAAGTTATTTAACTGCCACAGCCAAACCAAAAACACAACTGATCAAAACTGTTTTAAGTAGAGAAACTGCGGCAGCGGACAATAGAAACTTAAAAACCTACACAACTTTATGCTTTAAGATTAGGTGAAACGTGCGTTCGTTCACTTGCCACCGGCTGTGAACTTGGAGAGCTTTTCCAGCAGGCCAATGTAAGAAGTGTGCTCGTGGGCGGTGGCCAGATCGGATAGCTTCTCGGCAAACTCCTGGCTAATGCCCTTCTCTTCCAGCAAGTTGATCAGCAAGTCGTACAAATAGCCATCAAGCACGTCGCCAGCAACGGCATAGACCTTGTCGTTCCACTCGCCCTCGAAGATGGCCATTTCATCGATGGAGAAGATGTCGTCTGGAAGAGAAATAAGTGTTATTAGTGGATGGATTTAGGGCTTTACTAGAGAAACTCACTATACTCGCCCTCCTGGGCTTCACCCTGAAGGAAGGTGCAGGTGAAGGAGAGCGTGGAGTTGCCCTTGATGATGTCGACCTCGAACTGGGGCTTGCTCCGCATCTCGCCCAGATCTGGCTTGTCGGCATTCGGATTGATCTCCGGCTCCTCCTCGCTGTCGACCGAGTGGTTCACATTGAAGCTGACCACCACCTTCTCCTTGTCCGTCTGCTTGGTGAGCTCCACATCGGCACCGGTCAGTTTAACGCTGAAACCGTCCAGGGTGCTGGGCACCGACTTGCCCTTCTGCACCTTGCGCTCGGCCACGATCTCCTCGGTGAGGAACTCCACCAGCTCCCGCTCACCTGGATATTAACAGAGGGATTAGTTTTCAGTGTTTTGCTTTCCATTTCGTCAGCCCACGTTTGAGGTTATGTAACCTGCGGCAAGGAGCGCCCATGTAAGACTTTTCTGAGATAACTACTCACACTTGGTGTGCACATTGCAGCCGCACGTGCAGTTGATGCTGGGCTTGTGGAGATTCAGCACGGTTACATGATCAGATCCTCCGGCTGCCACCGGCTTCTTGGTCATGTGCCACAGGCTGCGGGTGAAGTCGCGCTTGCCCAGCGATCCGGCACTGGAGCTGGCCAGGCTGGCAAATCGCATGGAGGCTGTCCTCAGGCTGTTCATCTTGTTATATAACCGTTGGCTGGTCTTTTACTTTAATTAAACAGAAAAATGTGCAACACGCCGACTGCTGTAATGCTTGAGTGACCGTTGTGTCAAAATACGAAAATACGTTGAGCTTTGTCTATCGATTATTTATGGCGGAAAGGGCTGCTATCGATAAAGATTTAAATTCCCCTTTTGGACTTTATAGGAAATCATGTCCTATGGCTTTCTTGTTTATTAAATGGATTAATAATAAATAGAACGTTAACATAGGAATTAACTTTTGTCCTTAGTTCAAAATGATTACTTTTGAAACTATATAATTGTAAACTTATCAATCGGAGATCATATAAAAGTTATACAAAAATAATGAAAATTTTACTAATACATTTGAAGATTATTAAAAAAAAAATATTTTAGGTCTAGGAAAACTTTTTAGTTGTTTTTTTTTATGTTGGTTTTGGTATCGACCTTGTTAAACAATAATTGTAGTGTTTTTTTTTATTTAAACTGATTTACCCAAAACCAAACTATTCTTGTTAACCAGTAAGTCAGTTTTTTGACACTCATGATTATGAAAAATGACGACTTTATTAGATTTTCGAATTTTTTATCGGATGTATACAACAATATACACAGAACAAGACATACACATTAATAAAAAACTAAACACCATTTTGGGTTCTCTGGTTTCGGATCCTCCGAGCGGAAGACCCTTTCTTCACAATATTATCATGCATGCAATCAGACTCTCTCGTCATATATATCATTGTTTTTCAACCAAAAGGCATATCATTTTATCTTTACAAAATTTCAATAAAATCTATCACAATATGAGAATTTTATCTTTATATTAATTTTTTTTTGTAAGATTACAAAATATTTTAAGTGAATCTTTTTTTTGGGTTTTTCGGTTTTCAATACCTTCTTAATTTAAGTTTTAGATATTAATCGTAGACATGCGTATAAAAATATATATTAATTACGATGAAAATTGCATTTTACACGTTTTAAATTTAAAATTGCCATTGTACATTGAATTATGCAACTTCTTTAGTGGGACGGACAACAGCTTAAAAGTAAACATACAAATATAAAAATGCTGATTTTCTTTCATTGCCAAGCTAATTATTTTTCATGAAAAGCTTACAAGTTTAGCGTTAAGGCCTAGATTCGACACGATTTTATACTATTTTTAAGGCTTGCTGTTGTTGCAGATTTATTTCCCTTTTGTTGTGCGTATTTTCACATGATGATGTGGGGGCTGCAGTGTCAGTTCATGTCAAACAGCCTCATAGAAGTTTTGTTCGTTTCTTAGCCTAGTTCGTACTCTTAATTACATTCTATGTTCAATTCCTTATTGAGCTTATGTTAGATACATTTTTACGCTTTTGTTAGCCACAAAGCATAGAGCTTTAAAGTCCATGTAGCATTTTGTTAGTTCTCCACAAACAAACTCATATAGAAAAAGTAATCATTCAGTCTAACAAAATACTTGTAGAATATTCGATTGAATTTCGAGAAATAATTGGGGCTGTGGTTGTGGGATACTCGGCCACGAGCTGATCGGGATCGATTTCGGTATGTATGATATGTGTTTAAATTTGTACAGCTCTAATATTTGCACTTAAAGATTATACATTTAGAGTACACATAAGGGGCGACACCATTCGGGCTGCTTATTAGCCAGGGGCAGGCACTCCAGTTTTGGACAGCAAAGGTCGACGTCAGGGGAATGCGGAATGCTTCAGTAGACCCCGGTTAAGGCAGCCCGCGAACTATGTTGTCAATAAATTTAACTAAATTTTGCCAAACAAACTAAACTTATACAAATTTTACATCAAATTAAATTACAATACATGCTATGTAAAAAAAGATGCAACAGGTTCTGCTCTTCCTACTCTCCAGACCCGTTTCAAACGTATCTGGCTCTGTCGACTACTTCATTCGCAGGATGGGTGGGGGGTTACTATAACTAACAGCAACATAAACAACGAAAATATGTTTTAGAGTATAGAAATTCGACTAATTTTGCAGTTAGCTTCCATTGCAAGCCCACTAGATGTATGTGCGTTTCACTTTCGTCAGCGTTGACGTCTTGCAGGGCAGCTCTTTTTCCAAATGTTCCGTAGAGTTTTTGCACTCGTGACTGCGATCCTTTTCAAGGTCCAGATTGGGTGTTTTCTGTGTGGTGGTGTAGGCATTGGAGCCCATCAAAAGGTTTATATCTTTGCCGGTATTTTGATGTTTGAATGGTCTGTGAGATCGTTAAATTAGTATTTTTAAAAAGAAACATTTTAGAGAAAATACTTACATTGGCTTGCCAAAATGATTGCGGTGACTTTCATCCATTTGTGCCTCCATAAGGCGATTTTTGGAGACGACCCTGATATACCACCCAGCAAAGCCACCCACAAAGAAGGCCATGCAAACGAAAAATATGGGGAGCATGTTGAAACTTGAGGCATGTTTGATTTCATCCACAGTGGCGGTCGATTTTTGGGGATCTGTAAAATAAAACCATAAATTAGAATGGCAAGCTTTAGAAGGCCCAAAAGTAATAACTCTAACCATTCAAATTGGGCATAAGATCGTCAGGATCCAAGGACGTCAGTGTGATCTTGTTTAGGCCAAAGTCCCCGCCACCAGTTGGCTGCTGTTCCAAGCTTGGCTGACTGACCTGCGAGGCACCTACATTGGAGTACAGAAGTTTCTGCTCCTCTGTCGGCGGTGGAGCCATGGTAACAAAAGTAAACGTCTCCGCACCTGCTCCTTCGCGCGGAATGTGGGGACATAGCAAGGCAGCAGCTTTTTTTGTGCTGTTCAAGCTCTGCAGGTATGTTTTGGTTCCAAACTTGTGCTGGCTGGTGGCCAGGTTCTTACACTCGTGCGTCTGTAGATCCCAGGCGCATATGGGGTCCTGGAGACTCAAGCAGCCCAAACAGTCCACAATGTGGGTGCAGTGGTGCAGAGGGACGCTGACCAAGCTACCATCACTAACCACCACCAGCGAGTTCTTTGAGGTGGAGATTACCAGTTCCCTTACGGGCGTTCCCAGTGGCAGCACCTGCATTTCCGATATGACCACCGTCTTTAGGCGATCCACCGTCGAATTCGGATGCGTGGTCAGTATATTGATGAACTTGGTCACCTTGCCATCGTCGGTGCCACTGTAGATTACGTCATAGTGCGCGCCGCTTAGCGACTTAACCTGAGGATGGACTGCAATTGCAGTAAGTCGGTGGTGCAAATTCACCTTGGTCAGCAACGGACGTCCGTGCACTGCAGGCACAGCCTCCTCCATCAATGGATGGTTCTTAATAAAATTGACCCCGATGCTGGGAAGAGTCCTCGAATCCTCTACGCACTGTCCTGGTCGTGGCTTTGGCACCTGCTCCCGCTCCACCGGCAGCCACTGTGACTGCGAGTCCTTTTGCGATTTGAACTCTCCATCAAAGGCGGCTAATATATCGTCCACGTTGAAGGCGCACACTGCCGATCCGGGAATGGCGTTCACAGAGGTGGTAAAGACGGCATAAACCATCGACTTGGATCCGCTCTCCACAATCGGACTAATGGCCTCTGTACGGGGGAAAGTATGAATTTGGGATTAAGATATAAATAAATATTCTTATTTCAACTTACGGATTTCGTCAAAGTAAAAGGGGAAATTGCCGGGCACCGAACAGTTGAGACGGGCCTTCAGGAAAGAGGTCCAGCTCTTGCCGTGGTTGTAGGGTCCGCCTCGGTCGTTCTTGCAAACCCTGGCGACTCGCGAGTAGACGGCCTTGCCGAAGTTCATAAACTCTATGGACAGCTCGCGGAAGAAGAACAGCACGTAACCGTTCCTCTCGATGGCACCCACAAAGTCCGGCTGGTTGAGTTGCTTGAGATCGTACTGTTCGGTGCGCAGGTTCTCCCGATAGATCAGGGGATCTCCTCCCGAAAAGTCCGCCACGGTGGCGCTGTATAACTGCCCGTCGGCGAAGGCGTAGGTGCTGTTGTGGGCGGGGCTGTACGGGCACAGGCCCTGCGCCTCCACATCCCGACTGACTTCGAAGCGCATGACGTGGGCGTGGCCAGCGGAGGCGGCCTCCTCGGATGACATCTCCACCGGCGTGTAATGACGACAGCGCGGCTTATACGAATTGGTCCCGCAGAGCAGCACCTCGCCATTGGGCCGGAGTGCGAAGACGCGCAGGTAGTTGTGGCAGTCCCACTCGTGCTTTCCCTTCAAGGCACACAACTGTGTGTCTGCATCCGTGCTGTGCCACTCCAGACGCGCAATCTCCTTCAGGCCATTCAGGCTCACATTGTATATGACGTTCCTGCAAACCGAAATAGAGAACAATTGAATTAGCAAATGGGGGAATTAATTCGCCGATGGCGTGTGCCTGCCCAGAATGTGGAATGGAAGCCAGCCAAGTTCGGTGACCAAAAATAAACAATTCAAAAGCAGTGAGTTGAGCGCTTCGTGCCAGGAACACACAAATGTTTGACTTAACACTGGCGGACAAAATTATAGTTAAGTATCTTTAAACTTTTAACAAGGTTTTTTTTCAAACACAAATTTTATTGGTATTTAGAAATACTTAATTAATCTTTACTGAAATGATTCTATGAAAATAAGTTATAAAATTATAATACATCTACAGAAAAATTTCAAATCTTTATAAACGCAGTAATGAAAGGCAAATATAAAATTAGAGGCAGTGTGAAGAGAAACGCTGAAGGTAAACATTACGTTTTATAAACAAGTTTTACAATTAATAAACAAAATGGTCTCCATTAGCGCATTGCAAACCCCTTGCTTTATTATTTCTTTATTTTTCATTTGAGCTTTTCAAGACCAAATTTCTATTATTTTGGCCGCAGCTGTTTGTACGCCCCGCCGACAATCATATCCCAAGGTTACATCTGTGCAAATAATTAGAACTTGTATACAATTGTATAATTCTGTGTTTTAAGTGGCTAATTATTGTTGCTGCTAATTTGTTGCTATGTTGTTTATGGCACCACCACGTCTGGGGCGCAGGAAAATATGATATATCGAAAGCTGGTTTGAATTTGTCGGTCCATTTGAGATCGCCGATAGCCGACCATTACTCAGTCACCTAGT